TATGCAGGGAATGGTCTCAATCTTTTGGTACTGGTGGAGACTTGATTTGTGACCCTGTGTGTGATTTATTCTGGAGATAGTTCCATATACACTAGGGGAAGAATGTGTATTCTGTTGCTTTAGGATGGAATGCTCTGTGTATATCTGTTACATCCATCAGTCCAGTGTGTCATTCAAAGCCCTTGTTTCCTTGTTGATCTTCTGCTTAGATGATCTATCCATTGCTGTGAGTGGGGTGTTGATGTCCCCTACTATTATTGTATTATTATCAATGTGTTTCTTTAACTGTGTTATTACTTGGTTGATATAATTGGTTGCTCCCAAGTTAGAGGCATAAATATTTGCTATTGTTAGGTCTTCTTTTTGGATAGACCCTTTAAGTATGATATAGTGTCCCTCTTCATCTCTTCCTAGAGTCTTTGGCTTAAAATGTAATTTGTCTGATATAAGGATTGCTACCCAGCTCTCTTTTATGTCCATTAGCATGATAAATGGTTCTTCATCCCCTCACTTTCAATCTGGACGTGTCTTTGGGCCTAAAGTGAGTCTCTTGTAGACAGCATATGAATGGTTCTTGCCTTTTTATCCAATCTGATACCCTGTGTCTTTTGATTGAACATTTAGCCCATTTACATTCAGAGTAACCATTAAAAGATATGAATTTAGTGCCATTGTAATACCTATAAGTTCCTGTTTCTGTAGATTTTGTTTCCTTCTGGTTTATGTTACTCTTATGTTACTTTTGGTCTCTCTTTGCTTACATTACCTTAATATTTAATTAACCTTACATTACATTAATATACAACAATTAAATATATATTAATATATATATACATATAGCAATTCAATTCAATTAATTGCTTACATTACATTAATGTTTCCTGTGGTGCTGTCTTGGTGGTCACATATTCTTTCAATTTCTGTCTGTCCTGGAAGTTCTTTATCTCTCTTTCCATTCTTAATGACAGCCTTGCTGGATAAAGTATTCTTGGCTCCATGTTCTTCTTATTTATACTCTGAATATATCATGCCAGATCTTTCTGGCCTGTCAGGTCTCTGCGAATTAAGTCTGATGTCAGTCTAATGTTCCTACCCCTGTAGGTTAAGAACCTATTGTCTCCAGCTGCTTTCAAGATTATTTTTCTCTGAAATTTTCAAGCTTCCTTAGTATATATCAGAGTGTTGATCTATTTTTATTGATTTTGGGAGGGGTCCTCTCTATGTCTTGGATATGAATGGCTGTTTCCTTCCCCAGATTAAGGAAGTTCTCAGCTATAATTTACTCAAATATACCTTCTGATCCTCTCTCTCTTTCCTCTCCCTAAGGCACTCTAATAATTCTGATGTTTCATTTTATGGCATTACTGATTTCTCAAAGCCTTCCTTCATGGTCTATTAGTCTATTAGTTGTTTTTCTCTCTTTTCCTCAGCTTCTTTCCTTTCCAACTTGTCTTCTATGTCACTTACCATCTCTTCTGCCTCAGTTAACCTTAGTTGTTAAAGCATCCAATTTAGACTTCATCTCAGAGCATTTTTAATTTAGGCCTGATTAGATCTCATTTCTGCAATAAGAGATTCTCTAGTATCTTTTATGCTTTTTTCAAGCCCAGCTATTAACTTTATAATTGTTGTCCTGAATTCCATCTCTGACATTTTACTTATATCCACATCAATTAGATCTGTGGCAGAGAGTATTATCTCTGGATCTTTCTTTTGTTTTGAATTCTTCCTTCTAGTCATTTTGCCTAAAGATATATGGATGAACAGATGAAAAAAATACAAATATCAACCCCAACTCAAGGGAAATACACACTAGCTAATTCTGAAGTGTCAGAAACCAAAAAAAAAAAAAAAAAAAAAAAAAAGGCAGGGGTTGGGGGGGAGAGAGAATAAAATCGCCCAGGTGGACAAAACAAGGTGATCCACTTGGTCCCGGGCATATTTTGGTCTGTGTTAGAAGATACTAAATCCCAAAATTGTAAAGAAGGCAAAACTATACATATACAAAAATAAAATTGAATACAGTGAAAGGAAACCAAAAATGAAGAATATGTCTAGGAAATGTAAATGTAAAAAATGAAAGTTAAAAAAAACTTAAAAACAAAGAGTTGATAAAATAAAAAACTCGTTGAAAAGGGAAAATTTTAAACTGAAATATAAAAGAATCATGAGAAACAACCTCAAATTCTATATACTATTTTCCCTTAGAGCTGCACGTTTGCAGTGCTGTGTGTTCTCTAAGCTTGGTGTTCCCTGTTCTTTCAGCTAGTCCTGGAGCAGGGGCCTGCTGCACTGATTCTCAGGTGTCTTTGTCTTGGCTGAGTTGCACCAACCCTTGCCAGGGGGCGGGCTCAATATAAGGTTTTTCTATGTCTCTTTTGTTCCCTGAAGGCTTTCCAGGCCTCTTTAGAAGATGAGAGTAAAAATGGCTGTGCCCCAATCTCCAGTTCCCAAGCTGAAAGACTGGTCCCCTTTCTTCAGTAAACCCTCAGGGATAAGCAGTTTTCACTGTGTGCGCCACACTGCAGACTCTTGGGGGAAGGTGGAGGTTCATGCATTTCTGCCATTTTCAGAACCCCCCCCCCAGTAGAATGGTCACCTGGTCATGCGTGTACCCATACCACCCCTACTGGGGAAAGGTAGGGGGTCATGAGCCTCTGTCTTTGCAGGGATCCTGCAAGGAGAGCATTCACCTAGTAGTGCCAGTGCCCCCATTGCCCTTCCCGGGGGAAGGCAGAGGGCCATGGCTTTAACTGACCTTTGCAAGGCCCCTCCCCACCCCACTGAGAGGTGTCACCAGAGCCTGCAGGGTTCACTGTTTATGGTGAACCAAGCTGAGAGCTTCCTCCTGGGCTCACAGACAGTAACCAGGTTCCCCGCTCCAATGCTGGGGAACTCTGCTGGCTCAGGGACCCCCCATGCTCTCTGTGACCCCAGGGATCTTGAGACTACACTGTTCCACCTAGAATTCTGTCCTACTTCACCAAAGAGCATCTTTCAGGCAGGGATGTCTCTCACTGGATCAGATTTTTAAAGGTTCAGATTTTGTGCTCTGGGGCTATATCACTTTCTGGTAGCCGGCTTATAGAGGCTCCCTCCCTTCTGCCGTTTATCCTCCAATATGTCCCCTCCATTTCACTTCTCCACACTTCTACCCTGCAAAAAGTGGTGACTTTTCTATTTATAGAATTCCAGCAATTCTTTTGTTGTATCTCAGGTTGAATTCATAGGTGTTCAGAATGATTTCATAGTTATCTAGCTAAATTCAGAGGACCAGATGAAATGAAGTCCCCTACTCTTCCACCAAATTGCGTCTCTTCCATAATTATTTTTTCTACATTCTGATTTTATCCTGTTTCTTTTTTAATTTAGTTAGTTAACATATAGTGCATTATTGGTTTCTGGAATAGAATTCAGTAATTCATCACTTACATATATCCCCAGTGCTCATCACAAGTGTTTTCTTTTTAAAAATTTTTAAAAGATTTTTAAAGACTTTTTAAAAATATTTTTCTTTTTAAAGATAGAGTGTGAGGTAGAGCAGGGGCAGGGGCAGAGGGAGAGAAGGAGACTCCCCACTGAGCAGGGAGCTCATTGTAGGGTTTGATCCGAGGACCCTGGATTCATGACCTGAGTTGAAGGCAGACACTTAACTGACTGAGCTGCCCAGGTACCTCAACAAGTGCCTTCTTTATTACCCATCATCCATCTGGCCCATCCACCACCCACCTCCCTCCATCAACCCTCAGTTTGTTCTCTATTGTTGAGTCACTTATAGCTTGTTTCCCTCTCCCCTTTTATTCTTTTCCCATGTCCCATATGTTCATCTGTTTTCTTTCTTAAATTCCACATATGAGTGAGACCATATGGTATTTTTCTTTCTCTGACTTATTTCATGTGGCATAATACACTCTAGTCCATCTACATCACTGCAAATGGCAAGAGTTCATTCTTTCTGATGGCTAATAGTCCATATATATATATATATATATATATATATATAATCACCTCTTCTATATCCATTCATCAGTTGTTGGACATGTGGGCTCTCCCCATAGTTTGGCTATTGTTGATAATGTTGCTATAAACATTGGGGTGCATGTACCACCTTAGAATCTGTATTTTTGTATCTTTTTGGTAAATACCTAAGAGTGCAATTGCTGAATTGTAGGGAGTTTTATTTTTAACTTTTTGAGGAACCTCCAAACTGTTCCCCAGCGTGGCTACACCAGTTTTCATTCCCACCAACAGTGCAAGAGGGTTCCCCTTTCTCCATAGCCTCACCAACACCCGTTTTTCCTTTGTTGTTAATTTTAGCCATTCTGATAAGTGAGGTGATAACTCACTGTAGTTTTGATTTTTATTTCCCTGATGATGAGTGATGTTGAGCATTTTTTCATGTGTCTGTTAGCCATTTGTATGTCTTCTTTGGAGAAGTGTCTATTCATGTCTTCCACATATTTCTTAACTGGATTATTTGTTTTTGGGGGTGTTGAGTTTGATAAATTCTTTATAGACTTTGGTATTAACCCTTATCTGATATGTCGTTTGCAAATATCTTCTCCCATTCCATGGGCTGCCTTTTAGTTTTATTGTCTCCTTCACTGTGCAGAAGCTTTTTATTTTGATGAAGTCCCAATTGTTTATTTTTGCTTTTGTTTCCCTTGCCTCTGGTGACGTGTCTAGTAAGAACTTGCTGCAGCTGAGGTCAAAGAGGTTTCTGCCTGTGTTTTCCTCTAGGATTTGGATGGTTTCCTGTCTCACATTTAGGTCTTTTGAATTTATTTTTTGTGTATGGTCTAAGAAAGTGGTCCAGTTTCATTTTGTGCATGTGGCTGTCCAGTTTTCCCAACACCATTTGTTGAGGGGACTGTCTTTTTTTTCCATTGGATGTTCTTTCCTGCTCTATTGAAGATTAGTTGACTATATAGTCGTGGATCCATTTCTGGGTTCTCTATTTTGTTCCATTGATCTATGTGTCTGTTTTTTTTGCCAGTACCATACTGTCTTGATAACTACAGCTTTGTAATGTTAAATGCTGACATTTTTAAGGGTAAAATTTTCCTCAGTATAATGTGTGAGTATTGGGGAAATATGGTAGCTGATAATTGATAAATTGGGTGATACAGACATTTACTATTTTATTGTCTCTATGTTTAAAATTTTTTATAATAAAAAGTTTCAGTACATGAAGTAATACTGAGGACCATTTTTGCTCCTTATACTAAATGGTAAAAAATTGATCACCATGTTTGGGCACAAGCTTTTTCTCCAAGGAAATATTAAATATATTTTTCAGCTTTTTTTCTACTTCTTCCTCATTCAGTATTTTAAACTCTATCAAATCCATATTGTCCTTAAAATTGAATTTCCTATAGGTAAGGGTGCAGCCCACTAAACAGTGAACCCCTTCAGAAGTCTGCAAGGAACAGAATGACTTGTTTGTAAACACAGATGTTGGAGACATTTGAAGGTATGTATTCACAGACTCAAAATCTTCAATTGTTCGAGGTTCAAGAGTAAAGGAGTATATTTTTCGGTATTTGTTCTTTTCTAGGAGATCAGAATTAAGAAAGTCTTGGTTTGGAATGTACTGGTCTCTTCTGATTTGGTCCAAGTACCAGATTCCTTTGTCTTCTGTCAAGTGGAAGATGCAAGGCACCTGAGGCTGATCCTTCCCAGAAATTAACTCCAGAGGCTGCCACATCTGGTAAGAGCGTCCAAACCCAGCATCTACTATGTAATTCCTGCCATCAGTAGTCACCATCAGCAGAAGGTGAATCATAGCCTTGCTATATTTGCTGGCTGGAGTACTGTAAACATACCCTCCTAACATTGTGGTCTCAAAACCGATTGTGGTCAGAGCCCAGTACAGAAGATGATTGACCTGGAGACACCACCCACCACGGTTCTTCCTTACAACTTGATCAAAAATGGGCTCCAAGCCCAATTCCATGGCTTCCCCACAATGGATGTCAAGGTTTTCAAAAGGAATGGTTCGGATTTGGTGCTGAAGAATGTCAGTTAATGTTTCCAAGTCCAATTTCTTCCTAGGGTTCTTATAACCAATTCTTTCAAAATATGCTTCGATGTCCATGATCCCCTAAGGGAAGTACAACAAAACAGAAATAAATACATTACTTTTGCACTGGATTTCTTTGATAAGCTTAATTATAACTAACGTATTTTAAAAATGTAAATGCAATCAGTGGTTATAAATATCCATAATCATGTCTTTTTTGTGTGTGCTTTTATTGTATAAATTACTTTTGTACATATAAACTTACTTAGTAGACTTAGTAACTCCGTAGGAAAACTATTATCACTTCTTTCATGTTTTAACCATGAGAAATTGGAAATCCATCAAAAGTGAGGAGTGAAATTATAAAAACAGTTTACATGTGGTTTTCCTCATGACGAACAAAACAAGGTTCAAATTGGTATCAAAATAGGGTTTAAAAATAGTTCCTAATACAAACAGGAGAATTATATAAGTCTATTGATTTCATGGTACCTGATCCACTCAGTTTCCCCTTTAGATAAAATTATCTGGTCAAAATTTCCCACTCAAAGATTATATTCATTTGTGCATTGATTTATTAATTCATTCAATATATTCAATATATTTTCTGAATACCTACTATGTATTTGCTACTGATCTGCTGCTTGCTTGCCCTCAGAAATCTTACATTTTAGTGGGAGTTGGATGACATAGATAATAAATTGGATAAACCAATAAAACATTCAATTTCTTAGATTCTGATAAGTGCCCGGTGGAAAACTAAAACAAAGAAAGAACACATGTTATGCACTGAGAAAACTAATTTTGAATAAAGTGATCAAAGAAATCACCATTGTGACCTTAAAGATGTGAAAGAATGAGCCATGTCCACATGCGTGGGGAATACCATTCAGGCAGAAGAAACAAAGCAAAAAAAGTCTCAAAGTAGAACCTGCTTAGAATTCTCAAAGAACATGTAGGAGGCCAGGGCGATTGAAGCAGAGTAAGTGGGAGGGCATGTGAACTGAGATGAGATCAAACAATTAACATAGGCTTAAAAATCAGTGGGGGAAGGTTGCAGTTTAGGCAAAGTGTACCATAATCAATTTGATATTTCTGGCTATTATATGAAGAATAAGCTGTATGTATTCAGCTAAATAAATAGACATGTGACCCATGTGGACCAATTAAAAATATGTAGGTTCTAGGACCAGTACTCTGCTCATGAATGGTATGTTATCCAAGTCAAGTCAATGAGACTCTATTGAAGGAATATTTCAGAAACCTAAGCAGATATGTTCTGCTTCAGGGCTAAGAATTGGTAGGGTATTTTCTCAAAGCTACTGGGAGAACTTGCTGAAAAATAATATCAACAAAAATTTATGGGGTTGAGGAGTGAAAAGCAGGAGAAAAGAAGATGAGAAAAGACCTGAATCAAATCTTAAATTATCTCTTGACCTTCTGTTAAAGTGAGCTAGCAAAAAAAAAAAAAAAAAAAAATCCTTATTTTGCTAAATCCCATGTAGAAAAGGTTTCTGTCCCTTGCTGGTGAAAAGTCCTAATCCCATGTAGATGCTAATTGTAACAGTAGTGCATTACCTTTGTTAATATGACATGGCCTGAGGTGACATGATACAAAAGGCCCTGTCCCCTAGGCTAGTGGTGATAAGCTATGTGTTTCTATTGTCCTTCTTATTCTCATTTCTTTTGTATTCTATTTTTCTTTCTTGATCAGCTCTTCTCATTTTGCTAGGGTTTTAACTTTCTCTATTTTTAACGTCTGCAACATTATTTTCTCTAAATCTATTAAGTTTATTTCATCTCTTCTCATCTTATTTGCATTGATATCCTTTACCAACATGTACACAAGCTCTAAAACTACCACTCAGACACGGAGAAACAATTGTAATTGAGCCAGGCCATCCAAAACCCTCTCTTATTCTATATCCAGAAGCACTGTTGAATAAGTAAGGAGGACTGGTGATATGGAACAAAAGAAATATGGCTTAGACCTGCTTGACCTTTAAAAAAAATTTAGTCAGCAGTCTTTTCCCTTTTCAATTAAGTTAACATATAGTGTATTTTTAGTTTCAGGGGTAGAATTTAGTGATTCATTACTTACATATAACACCCAGTGCTCATGACATTAAGTGTCCACCTTAATGCCCATTACCCAAATATCCCACCCCACCACCTCCCCTCGAGCAACCCTCAGTTTCTTTCCTATAGCTAAGACTCTTATGGTTTGCCTCCCTCTCTGTTTTTTCTTACTTTGTTTTTCCTTCCCTTCCCCTATGTTAAATTCCTATGGTATTTGTCTTTTCTGACTGACTTATTTCGCTTAGCATAATATCATCTGGTTACAACCACGTCATTGTAAGTGGCAAGATTTCCTTCTTTTTGATGGCTGAGTAACATTCCATTATATATATATATATATATATATATTCACATCTTTATCAATTCATCATCCATAGACATCTGGGTTCTTTCCATATTTGGCTATTATGGACAGTGCTGCTATAAACATTGAAATGCATGTATCTCTCAGAATCACTACGTTTGTATCCTTTGGATAAATACCTAGTGGTGCAATTCCTGGGTCATAGGGTAGGTCTATTTCTAACTTTTTGAAGAACCTCCATACTGTTTTCCAGAGTGGCTACACCAGTTTGCATTCCAAACAACAGTGTAGGAAGGTTCCCCTTCCTCCGCATCTTTGTCGACATCTGTTGTTTCCTGACTTGTTAATTTTAGCTATTCTGACTCATGTGAGGTGGTATCTCATTGTTTTGGTTTGTATTTCCTTGATACTGAGTGACATTGAGCATTTTTTCATGTGTCTGTTGGCCCTTTGCATGTCTTCTGTGGGGAAATGTCTGTTCATGTCTTCTGTCCATTTCTTGACTAGATTATTTGTTTTTTTCGGTGTTGAGCAAGCTATAAATTCTTTATAGATTTTGGATACTAGCCCTTTATCGGATATGTCATTAACAAATATCTTTTCCCATTCTGCGGGTTGCCTTTTAGTTTTGTTGACTGTTTCCTTTGCTGTGCAAAAGCTTTGTATTTTGACGAAGTCCCGATAGTTCATTTTTGCTTTTGTTTCCCTTTCCTTTGAAGATGTATCTAGCAAGAATTTACTGGTAATGAGGTCGAAGAGGTTGATGCTTGTGTTCTCCACTAGGATTTTGATGGTTTACTGTCTCACATTTAGGTATTTCATCCATTTTGAATTTATTTTTGTGTATGGTGTAAGAAAATGGCTCAGTTTCATTCTTCTACATGTGGCTGTCCAGTTTTCCCAACAACATTTGTTGAAGAGACTGTTTTTTTTTTCCCCCACTAGCTATTCGTTCCTGCTTTGTTGAAGATTAGTTGCCCAGAGTTGAGGGTCCATTTCTGGATTCTCTATTCTGTCCCATTGATCTATGTGACTGTTTTTATGGCATACTGTCTTGATGGTTACAGCTTTGTAATTCAGCTTGAAGTCCAGAATTGTGATGCCACCAGCTTTGGTTTTCATTTTCTTTCTTCCTTCCTTCCTTCCTTTTTCTTTCTTTCTCTCTCTCTCTCTTTCTTTCAAGATTTTGCTTATTTATTTGACAGAAAGAGAGTATGAGCAGGGGGAGCAGCAGAGGGAGAGGGAGAAGCAGGCTCCCCGCTGAACAGGGAGCATGATGTGGGCTTGATCCCAGGGCCCTGGGAACATAACCTGAGCCAAAGGCAGATGCTTTACCAACTAAGCCACCCCGGCACCCCTGGTTTTCTTTTTCAACATTCCTTTAGCTATTCAGGGTCTTTCCTGGTTCCATACAAATTTTAGGGTTGTTTGTTCCAGCTCTGAAAATGCTGGTGGTATTTTGATAAGGATTGCTTTAAATGAGTAGATTGCCTTTATTTATATATTTGGCTGTTCCCATAAGGGGAATAAACACTAACAGTTGTTAGATCTTCTTGTTGGATATACCCCTCTATTATGATGTAGTGTCCTGTTCATCTATTACTACAGTCTTTGGTTTAAAATCTAGTTCGTCTGATATAAGGATGGCTACTCCAGCTTTCTTTTGATGTAAATTAGCAGGATATATGGTTCTCCACTCCTTCACTTTCAATCTGGAGGTGTATTTGGGTCTAAAATGAATCTTTTGTAAGTAACATATCAATGGTTCCTTTTTTTTTTAAAATCCATCTGATATCCTATATCTTTTTTATTTTTTGGAGCATTTAGTCCATTTACATTGAGAACAGTTATTGAACAATATGAATTTACTGCCATTGTATTACTTGTAAAGTCACTGTTCCTGTAGATTGTCTCTGTTCCTTTCTGGTCTTTGTTACATTTGGCCTCTCATCACGCATAGGGTCCCCTTTAATATTTCTTGTAGGGCTGGTTTAGTGGCCATGAATGCCTTTAGTGTTTGCTTGTCTTGGAAACTGTTTTTTTCTAATCTGAATGACAGCCTTGCTGGATAAAGTATTCTTGGCTACATATTTATCCCACTTAGCACATTGAATATATCATGGCAGTCCTTTATGGTCTTGCCAGGTCTCTGTATACAGGTCTGCTGCCAGCCTTATGTTTCTACCTTTGTAGCTTAAAGGCCTCTTCTCCAAAGCTGTTTTCAGGATTTTCTCATTATACTTGCAATTTGCAAGTTATATGTTGTGGTGTTGACCTATTTTTGTTGCTTTTGAGGGGAGTTCTCTGTGCCTCTTAGACTTAAATGTCCGTTTCCTTCCTCAGATTGTAGAAGTTCTCTGCTATAATTCGTTCAAATAAATATTCTGCTCCTCTTTCCCCACTCTTTGTCTTCTGGGATTCCTATAATATGGATATTAATTTGTCATATGGAATTGCTGAAGTCCCTAAGTCTATCTATGTGATCTAATAGTTTTCTTTCCCTCTTCTTTTCAGCTTCCTTATTTTCCATAATTTCATCTTCTATATCACTGATTTGTTCTTCTGTTTCATTCATCATTGTTTTTATGGCCTCCACTTGTGATTGCATCTTGGTAATAGCATTTTTAATTTCAGCCTCACTGGATTTTAGTTCTTTATCTCTACAGTAATGTATTCTCTAATGTCTTCTATACATCCGTCAAGCCCAGCTAGTATCTTTATAGTCTTTGTTCTAAATCTAGTTCAGACATCT